TTTGTATATCGATATTTTATGTAGCTACCAGTATTTCTCAACCAGCTGCGGCTTCATAGCTGGATACGACGTCAGGGATTTGCCAGTGGCGATGCCGTGCTTGGCCAACGCTGTGGGAGCTGCGCATATAGCTGCGATTAGGCGCCCTGCCGATTCCTGTTTATGCAGCAGCTCGCCAACTGCCTTCGAGTTGCTCATGGCGGTGGAGCCACCCAGACCCCCGGGTAAAACAATAACATCGTACACCTGGTCCGTAACAGCGTCCTCCAACGACTTATCCGGCACAATCATCACGTCACGCGAACATTTGACCGGTTCGCTGCCTTCCAGTCCAGCTACCGTCACAATTATCTAAAACAAAACAACAAAAAATGTCTTACTATAAATAGCCAGACATTCGATTTTTTCACTCACGCCCGCGCGGCGTAACACATCCGCAGCAATGGTGAACTCCATTTCTTCGGCACCTGGTGCCAGGACAATCAAAGCACGTTTCCCATCCATTTTATTGATGTAAGTTCCCTTCGGCTGTTGTATAGCTATGCTCAAGGCGCTGTTTTCGCGACTTCTACCCAGAGTCAGCAGTCGTAGTGGCCATCGTAGCATTGAGTACATATCGATAGTTTTTGTTGTGGACTTGTTATCGATGTATAAATTATGGGCCTAGTTCCAAATTTGTAGTTTTTAATTTTGAATATTCACAAGCAGACTTTTTATAAAAATAAAATAAAATTTTTGGAATAATATTCAATGAATTAAAACTAAGGCTACTTTTTGGAATAGACTGCAAAAAAGGCGAAACTTAGATTAGTCCGAAAATGTAAAGCTCCCAAGAAAGAGACGAGTCAGTGAACCAGTCACATTGGGCTTTTACTCCTTACTTGGCCAATTGTGACGTCATTTGGGACAGACTTCCATTCTAATTACTAAATCAATTTCTCTTCCAATTATAGTTATAAAAAATGCCTAAAATTGATTTTATCAATTGGAACTCCATTAGTATTTGAGGCAATAAATAATTGAACCATCTATGAAGAAATGAACAAAAGTTCCAGTTGTGACATTATTCAAATCCATTTCAACAAATTTTTAGTTAAATATATTTTTATTGAACAAAAAATATGTATCTATGTATTTTGTTTCTTGTCTGCGATCGAATATGTTGTTTTGTTGTTGATTTTACATACATATATGTATATAGACATGCAAAGGTGTATTGCCAAATGTAGATTTAGTTCTTGAAATAAAAAATACATAAAACTAATTATGTAAAACCGCAAAAAATTTGCAAAGTAATTTGAAATGTTTGGTTATTTGTTTTTGTCGTTTGTATAAAATATAACTTAATTGAATTATTTGTTAGACATAAGAACTATTTGTATTAAAGCGCTTACACTAATTGTTAGACAGCTGATTTTTATTAATTTATGTTTTAGTTTTTGTTTTATTTTTAAATTTCAATTGAATTAAATTAATTGTCTCTGATGATACACTCCAATATTAATATTCTGGAAAAAATGTTTACGTCGTAATTTAAGTCACATTTAGAACTTGTTTGATTTGTGTTTGTTTTGTTACATTAGTTTTTGTTTTTTAATTTTTTTCTTCTTTACTAATAACATTTAAAAAGATCACCAAAGTTACAGATTTCCCATATTTTACGTTGCTTACGTTTCTCAATAAGTTTTTATTCTTTTTTATTTTATTTTCATATATTTTTATATAATTTACGAATAATGTATTTTTGCTCATTTCTGCTTAAGTAATAATTAATTATTGATTAATTACCCGGCGTTTTGGTATAAACATTTAAAGTAAGAGTTTGTTTTTTTTTTTTGTTTGTTTTTTTTTTTTTTTAAATTGATCTTTTTCATAAGTGGATCNTACTTACCGATACATAGGTTATATATATGTATATATAAATGTATATATACATATATATATCTGTGTGTAACTGTGTACTCTATTCTTCCAATTAGTCCCATACAGAAAAGAAACCACGCCCCCCACAATTGTCGTAGTGTTCCAATTAACATGCAAAGACAAAAACAAAAACAAAAACAAAATAAAATAAAAAGTATATATTGAACCCTAGCTGAAATTGGATTAGTAAAAATCTTGAATAAAGTAAAAGTACTCGTAAATCAAAGGTATCAAAACTATCTATCTGAAGCTTACAAATACTTACTTCACTTCATATATATATGTATATATATATATATATACATATATATATGAAGTGAAGTAAGTATTTGTAAGCTTCAGATAGATAGTTTTGATACCTTTGATTTACGAGTACTTTTACTTTATTCAAGATTTTTACTAATCCAATTTCAGCTAGGGTTCAATATATACTTTTTATTTTATTTTGTTTTTGTTTTTGTTTTTGTCTTTGCATGTTAATTGGAACACTACGACAATTGTGGGGGGCGTGGTTTCTTTTCTGTATGGGACTAATTGGAAGAATAGAGTACACAGTTACACACAGATATATATATGTATATATACATTTATATATACATATATATAACCTATGTATCGGTAAGTAATATATAACGTATATAATTGCTTTGGAGTTAGTCCTTTTTTTCGTTTGTTAATTGTGGCATAAATTTTTATTTCCTTTAGGAAGAGTTGTGCAATTGCTGTTCTAGCTTCGATTGATCTCTATTTAGAATACATATTATATATCTATATATACATACATATGTATATATATATATAGTTGTATTGTAGACATCTATGTATTGTGTGTGTTTACTTAGTTGCTAATGTGTTGTTAATTTTATCATTGAGTTTTGCAATAAACGGCACATTTATAAGTATTATTATTAATTGTTTTGTTTTTGTTTTTGTATTTTAAAGCTCAATTAAATTTCGACACATAGAAAGTGAGAGAAACATTATAGTCGGCTTTGCGGTTGGGTTTTTAATAGACACTATATTATGCATGGAAATCTCACTCTACGCTATATATAAATAAACGTACATATAGCATATGAGATATTGATATAATGTTTATTGTTTTTAGCTGCACGACATTTGAAGAAACCATGAAATGTGTTTATGTGTGTGTGGAAAATATACTATAAATATTTTTCTTTTTTTCATTTGAATCAGATGACTATATATTTATATAGTTATAGTTTTTGCATTTTAATAAGTTACGCAGCCAAAATCATGTTCTTGTGTTAATCACAAATGTCAACGGACTTTTTGCTTGCATCTGCGCATATAGTTAGATTTGGAGATGCAGATATATATACATATATATACATATATATATATATATATGTTAAAGCTTTAGACTTTGCTCTATAAATGTCGTGCCTCTTCTATGTGTTTTACAAGTACAAGTTACAATTACAAGGATACATTCATTGTCGGCACATAAATTGTGTGTTTTTTTTTTTTTACTGTTTCTTTTTCTTTTAGCTTAAAGTACATAAAAATGTAATTGGTAATTTGTAAAATTGTTGTTGGGGTTTTAATGTTGAGAGACCCTAAAACTTAAAGAGACCCCGCAGATTTTTCTCGTTTTGTTTGCATTGTTTCGTTTACATTGTTGCTTTTGGATGTGCTTAAAATTATAATTGATTTTTTTAAGGTTTTTTCTTTCTTTTTTGTTGTTAAGAAATAAACGTACAAATTTAATCCCTTGTGTTAAAACATGCTAATTAATTAATATTTTGTTTATAATAAAATACATTTACAAAAAAACATATTTGTTGCAAACTCACTTATTTTGCACACATTGTTTTGTTTTTTGTTTTCGTTTGAATTAAAAAACTAATTTGTAATAGAAATTGTTTCACTTAATCATGTTTATACTTTATGTATTTTATAATGCTCACATATATATAATGCATGTAAATGTGTTTTTGTGTCTGTATGTATGTGTGTGTGTGTGTGTAATGACACATTTAAACAGGCTTTGTTAAAAAAAAAAAAAAAACAATAAAAATTGATTTAAATAATATTCTAATAGAAAATTGAAATCTGCAACAAAATTGTTCAGGACAATTATTGTTATAAATAAATGGGTTGCATTGCATTTTGTTTTCGTTTTTTGTTTTTGGTTCCATAATAGAACAAATCAGCATAATGTTAACTTGAACTGTGTCTTCCATAAGAGTACATATATATAACTCAATCTATATATATATATGCATATGGTATTTTGTTAGATTTGTAAAATTGGCAAATGTATATGTAAAAACTAAAACTAAAACTAAATATGCCCCATGAGTTAAGGGATGCAGCGGCAAAATTATGTTAAGAAAGTATGGAATATATATATATATATGTGTTTATATATATATTTATATAGAGCATTGAATATGTTTAGCATATTAATTGTTTACCCGTACACCACGTAATCTGCTTAAGACTCCATTAAATAGAATTAACAATGTTTTTGCTTTTAAATTATGAAACTTAAGTTGAGCTAATAAGAGGTACATAAATTAGTTGGACATTGGGATTTGATATGCCGTGTTTATATAGTGTGTGTATGTTGATTGTGTGTGTATGTGTGTATTTATACAAAACATAAGCTTTTTAACTTAAATTAAAAACTCGCTGTTAACTAAAGACAGCAAATTTTGACTTTTACCATTGTTTACTTTCGATCTTCAAACGAAAACTTGTTTAAGTATTGTTTGATTTTGTGTGCTTTTACACTTACAATATAGTTGCCTAAATATATATGTACTCATATATATATACATACTATATAATTAGCCATTGTTTTGACCAAAAGTTTGTCCCTTGTTGGAATTGGAGTTTTCGTTAAATATGTTGGTTGTTTGCTTTCACTTAGGTTTTCCTTTTTTTGTTTTTTTTTTGTTTTGGTAGTTCCGCACTTAATTCTACTAAAAAGCTAGCCCTTTAATAATTCTGGACTTTTTGAGTTGGATTGATCTTTACTTGTTATGGCTAATTATTACACTCTCTTTAATGCTTGTCGTATTGTTGTTAATTTGTCATTTTTTGTTTATTTAATTTTTTAGTTTTTAAGCTTTTGTTGGTGGTCTTCGTTCACAGTACAGAGAATTCAGAGTTGTTGTTGTAACGTGTTGTATGTGTCTTGTGTGTTTGTGTTTGAATCAGCAACTTGTTTCATGTTTTGATATACTAAAAAACCTTTGGTTGTCTGCACTTTGTCTGCACGTTTTTTAAACTTTGTTTTTGTTTTTTGTTTCTTCTTGTGTAAAAATATAATTAATCCTATTACAAAAGTTCATCGCAAATGTGTGTTGTTGTTTCAGCTGTTGTTGTTGTTGTTATATTTGACTTTCGTTTGTTCCCTTTAGTTTGTTTCGCTACGCTTTTTATTATAAATTTTGTTTGTTATTTTGAGAATTCTCATTCACATTTGTTGCGTCTGCTTGTGCATAAACATTCGATTCCCTTTTGTTTTTTCTAATCCCTACGATTTTGGCGTGTGGGTGTTGATTGTGTATTTGTGTGTGTGTGGCCTAAAAGCTAATATATTGGCTTTCCTTTAACTTAAATATATAAAAACATCATTTTGAAATTATCCTCTAATGATTTCGACTTGGCTTTCGTACATATTTTCTTCATGTTTTGCTTATTCGAATTATTTTCGAAATTTCAGTGCTCATTGTTGTTGATGTTGGTGTTGCTGTTGTATTGTTGTTCTTTTGATGTTGTGTGGTTTTGGTTTTGCTTCATCCTTTTAACTGCTTAGGCAAAGTACATGACCTTCTTCGTGTCGGCATGAACCGTTATGGCGCGTGCCATGGCCCCGGGCGTACGATCTTCGGATGAGCCGCTTTGATGTGATCCTTCGCCGGAATCGTGCTCCTTTTCAACCAGGTGGTATCTGTGAGAAAAAGGTGTTTGATAAATCTAGCATTATTTGATTAGCATAAGTCATAATTACCTGGCTCGGAAGGCAACCAGATGGGCGTAGTAGGCTGGCGCGGGGATGCTCACAGACCGCGTGCACCGGACATAGGTGTGGCACAGCTGATAGGTAAGGCATTGCAGCTCATCGGAATCAAAGTGGTTGTCGTCCCAGAGCACATGGTAGTGAGAAGGACGACTGGTGCCCTGGATGCCCTGATGGCTGCACAAGTAGAAATCAAACTCTGTGGGATGGGTGATGCCAACGTCGACGGTGGTGCCCGCTGGTATATTGCCCGATTTGCCGCTCTGCTCGCGTTTCTCGGCGCAGAAGAGTCGCGTGTGATGGCGCTTCTGGACGACAATGAATGTAATGCCTGGCCTGTATTCCGGCTCCAATTTGATGCACGCCTCGCGTATAGCGGTCAGCTCGTGCTGCAGCACGTGTGGGAACTGGCCCTCGGAGACGCCGTCGCGGTAGAGTATGATACGATGCGGCTTATAGCCGCCAGTGGATTTGTAGAACATGATCAACAATTCCCGCACCATGCTGCTCAGCTCCTGTATGATCTCCTGGCGGTGCTGTTGCACACGCACCGTGGCCGCATAGCGCGAGGGATGCGCATCCATTGAGCCAACCACAGCGGCTATCGATGGTTTCTTGTTGTCGCCTGCGGGGGGATGGGTGACATCGGCCCCCAGGAAAATGACGGGCTCATTGAAGACCTTGGGCCGTATGGATGGCACCAGAATCGAGTTAATGCCGCCCAGCTTAACATTGATCTTGAGGCACAGATTCGAGAGCGTCTGTGGCGAGGTCTTGTTCACGTTCTTGGCCTGGACACACTGCGTGGCCATGCCAAGGACCGTGTCGCCCACACGTTTGACCTCGGCGTAGACTGGTGTCTTGCCCGGCAGGACAACAACTACCAGTTGCAGTCCAGGGAAAGTGATCTTCAAATAACGGAACATGGGCTCCACTTGATCCGGCCCCGTGGCATACTTGCAGAAGCAGGGCTGTCCAATGATGGGCATGCCAGCATCATTGGAGATCTTTTGCAGTTGCAGCGTAAAGTTCCGCAAGGCATCCTCGCGGACTGTGCGCTGTGGTGCGAAGCAGGCAATCGCCCAAATTCTGATCTCGACACCCGTGAAGAACTGCTTGCCACGCATGTCCCAAACGCCTTGATTTGGAGATGCCAGGCTCACCTTATTCTGTGGCGGCAATAGCTGTTGTCCGGTGATCCCCGACGACATACGTCCCCCATATTGAAGCTTTGGTGGTGGCAAAACCCGGCCACGCACCTCCATCATGGAATTGGAGATGGTTAGCCCAAACTCCTGCACATAGGGATCATTGTTGAAGTCCGCACGCTTCACCAGAGTGTTAATCTCACGCTCACGATCAGGCGCCGAGCGTGCAGTCGCTTTGATCATGGTCGACGTCTGCATGTCTGTCAGCTTTTTGATGCAACGTTGTCCAGCCACAATGTTGCACACCTCAAGTGGTAGATAGGTGTGCTTGTGCTCCTGACCCACCTGCAGGCAGGGCAAATGCGGGTAGCGCAGCTTCATGCGATACTTATCCAAAAAGTACTTGGCCACAGTGCACTCGACGGTTTGTCCATTCTCCAGTTGCAGTGGGAAGCTACGAAAGGAGAGGCAATTAGATTCCGCTTAAAAACGATTTCCTCAAAATCAATCAGAAAATCAAGAAGGTAGGCGAAGGTAAAAAAATATCTCATTTAAGACAGTTCTGTCCAAAAATCTACAGATTTATCAAGAATCAGAAAAGATTACGGCGCTTATAAGGGTATACGTTGCTAGCCGTAAAGAAAGCTTTGTTCAAGAATATTTTGGCACTAATCCCGACTAACGTAGAAAATCTATCAAGCTTTCTAATTGATTTTAAATTTCAGCACCCGTTGAGAATAGATAAAATTTTCCCTTAGTGTAGCTCTTCTTAAATCTAACAACACTAATGCTTACATTTCATTTTTGTTTTTAGTTCTGCTGGGGATTTAAAGTAGAAAGCAATCCTTAGCAGGATAGACTAATATCCTGCTAAGGATTGCTTTCTACTTTTCGTAGTTTTTAAATTGGATTTCTTTTGCTAAGGATTACACTCCACTGCCTTATCTACGGCTTACAATCCACTTTCGCCAAGCAGTCTTTTGTGAAGGATTACACTTTCTGCAGGCCCAACTTACGATTGCATTTGAGCTGGTCGACGGGTCACATTGCAGACGCGATATTTCCGACGCATTTGACCACAGTGCGTGATTTCAATTTTAAGTCCTTTAATTTCCTTTGTGAACTTAACGCGCTGCGAATCGGTGAGCGGTTTGCGCTGTTCGTTAATGTCGCGAATGTCCAAAACCTCGCACATAAAATCGATGACAGGTTGAGCCTTGTAGAAAGCAGTAGCCGAAACTGAAACACAAGGATTCGAATTAGTTAAGCAATTTTAATTTAGACTAGCTGGTCTCTCCACTCACCATCAATGTTGAGCATCATTTTCCACTGAGATGGCCGCACGCTCTGATGGAAACCAAACCAGACTTCGCGACCACCACCCAAGGGATGATAGTAGCCGTCCGGTGAACTAAAGAAACTGCGTCCAACTGGAGTATACGCCATGCTAGGCAAATGTCGCATGACCACATCAAGCGCTAAGATAGCATCATAGGGAATTTGGCGGGTGCGCCCCTCCAGAGCCTCCTCCAGATTGAAGAGCGACACTTGCGCCTGCCACTTAATCGTCACACGAAAGATGCGGTCCTTGCCCTCGCCGGGCAGCGTTACCTCCAGCTCCAGTCGTTCATTGCCAATGGGCAGGGGATCCCGTGTATACAAATTGTTACGTCCATCAAAAACTGGCTTCAACACCCCAAAGATCTTGCTGTAGGCCTGCACCATAGTCTCGATGATCTCGCGATTCACCTTGCGCGGGCACTTGTCCGGCTGTATATTGATGTCATAGTGATGCACGAAGCCGCGTGGCATTGTCACCTGAAAGTGATTCGCACGCAGCACTATCGGCCTGCCCTCCCTTCCCAGATTTGGTCGTCGCGGGCACGTGAAGACGGGCATATCTGGCTGCGTTGTGGGCGATGCCGCTGCCGCAGCAATCGCCGCCGAAACGCCCGTGGTCCCCAATGCAGACGCCACTTGAGCAGCAGCCGCAGCCGCGGCACCACCAACCGTGGCACCCCCTGCAGCAACATTCTGAGCACTCGGACTGGTCACAGCGGTGGGATTTACCGAAGAACCGGGCGCTGGCGGTGCTGTAAGAAGTTTAGAGTTAGTCGATTCAAAGGGAAATCTCTGCTCAAGAGAAAGAAAGAGCAAATAGATAAAAAAGAAATAAAATAAAAAACGCAAGTAATTAACCACTACGCGACGCTCTAGCAACTAGGCAATTAATTGTACTAAGTAGAAGCTAAAAAACATTTCTATTCGGTAAACCGAATTTTTAATACTCTTGCAGAAAGTTTCTATTAATACTAGTTTATGAAGAATCATCGCTGTAGGATCTATACAACATTTTTTGATGAGTGTTCATTTATATAATATATTTAAATAGTTGTTTGAGCACAGCCCCTAATGCTTCCCTGTTAATTAATGTAAGATTAAGACGTGGATTTTGATTTTTACAAACACAATAACAGAGATATGACTTATGAGGAATATATATATGATATATTAGGAATATATATAAACATTCCTCTAATATACTTGCACTTATAAAAACTCTTAATAAAATACCAGGATATTTGGCTTTGGATTATATATTATAGAAACATAAATCATGGATATGTTTAAGAGAGTTATATAAACATTTTGAAAGTAAAATATTTGTGAAACATTACTGACGGTATTTATATATTTATTCTGGTTGAGATATCTTTCTGGTAGCTTCACGTTGAGATTGGAAATATTCAATCCATCTTATATGTTATTTATATCTCTATATAAATATTAATCAATGTTTATGCCAAATATGGCAACAGATACGCAGAATACTTAAACATTTTTACCTTTATACATTTTATATTTCTAAAACTTCTGAAAGGGTACTCAAAGAACTTTACGAGTAACACTCGCATGCAGTTAGTTGCACTACACGAGTAAAACAAAAAAAAAACATAAAATTTATGCAACGTTCGATATAACGGTAAACGCGCTGTATACAATTTATATTTTGTGTCGAGGTTTTGTTTTCGTTTTTAGTACATTTGTGCTTTTAGTTTTGCATTCAACAAATGTAAAAATTAGAAACAAACATTACATGAAACGGAAAAATGTTAGTAAAAATTTTGCACATTACTATGAAAATTAGTGTGTAGACTTTCTCTTGGAAGGGTTAGTAAGGTGTAGACTTTTTGTTAATTGGAATTTAGTAAGTTTTTTTTTCAAACAGCAAACTTAATAAACATAAACAAGTTTTTGGTTTTCAATTTTTGATTTATGTTTTTAGTAGTTTAGTAATTTGGTTTTGTTGGAGAAAAATTTACATGTGAGCGTGTCGAAGCTAGTCTGCGCCTGAGAGGGGCTCTGAGGCCGCGTGGGCGAGGAGGTGGTCCACTGTGACTCTATAAAAAGAAAATTTAATCAAAATCAAAATTGTCAAAAATCAAACAAAAACGAAATCAATTGAACAAAAATAAAATATAAATATTAAAATAGAACATAAAAGACAAAAATAAAAATTATAACAAATGGCCAATCATGTTTGATTAATTACATGAATATAATGAGAAATGAAGACCAAACAAATAGAAGGCGATAAAGAAAAATATTGAATATTATATAGAGTGCGATTAATATTTTTAGTTACAACTTTCTCCCAGCTTCATTATCCACATATCATTTCTAATTAATAATCAATTGTAAATCAGCCACATGTTTCTTTATTCGTATGTGTGTGTGGGAATTTATATGTGTAAGATCAGCAATCAAATATGACTAAATATTTTTGATCATGATTCATTTAACTTTTTCATTAGCTCCTGCCACACTGTACTATCAACGAGACAGATATAAAAGTCTACCATCACTATTCTACGTATTTGTCCCTCTCAAATCTAATACGCAAAATGCAAAACAGAATTGCGCCGTATTAAAACTCCTCTCTGAAGGGGTAATCGAACGTGCGAACGGGCGAGCGAACTAACGGAAGAAAGGATGAACAAATACTTCACTTGAACCCCAACGGAATAACTCTCAACTATTGCGTTGCGGTCGTTGACCCAATTTGCGCACATGTTTGACACAAACGCCTGGCTGTTCCTGTATCTCTAGCCCTCTCTATCGCTCTCTCCTCAATTTATGCGGCAAAGTCTACAGAAGTCTACAATCGTTACTGTGCTCTTCCTCCTTATGCTGTTAGCTTAATGCAGTCGCTTATTGGAACTTTGAGCGCCATTGCATTTCATAGTTACTCAACAACTGTCTCAAGTGCCTCGCCCTCGGCCATTTTACGCATTCATTCATTCTCAAATTTKATTATGCTTTGGAGAGTTGTATTTGCAAAGACAGGCAACCACAAATGTATGTGTGTGTTTGCAAAAGTAGAACAATAAAGTGGGGGAAGGGGTACGACTGTGTATAACATGTGGCAGATTTGTACGGTTTTTTTTTTTTGCAATTGCAATTGCAATATTTGCCACTTACGTTGTCCAACTGGATACATTTTGCACTAGTATTTGTTTAAGAAATATAAGAATGTATACAAAGGTTTTCTGTTTATTTGTTTTTGCTTTTTCGTGTATGTGTTTTAAATATAATTGATTGTTCTTGTAGTTGGGTTTTCTTTTGTTGCTTTTCGTTCCTACTAAATATTATTTTTTTTTTGTTTCGTTTTTATTTCAGCCTTTTGCTTATCACACTTTAAAGTAGTTTTATTCGTTTGGTTGATTTTCGCATTTAAATTTGTTGTTGTAAAAATTTCAATTTTCACACAGGACACACGCTATGTTGTTGTTGTCGAGTCCTCTTTCAGTTAATTATTATTACTATTAATATTTATACTTTAAATATTATTCTTATTGTTGTTTATTGTAAGTATTGGAAAAGAACACAAATGTAGGCACAGCTTTCGTTTTATGTATATGTCTGTATGTATATGTATACATACAAATACATATTCATATGTATGTACATATGTATTTCTAATGCTCTTATATTTTGGTTTTTACAACTAAGAACAATTATTCTTTATGTTTCTTTATCTCGATTTGGCTGTATGAGTGCGCGTGTGGGTGTTTTTTTTTTTTTTTTTTTGTGTAGGTGTGTGCTGGGTGCTCCGCTGGACAAACGACGACGACGGAGGTGCTTCTACAGCAATAAAATGCTTTTGTATGCGTTTTAGATTGGGCAGCAGAAAATGTGTGTGCACACGTATATATATAGATTTGTTTTATTTTTTCGAGACGTCGTTTTTGTGCACCCGAACACGTATGCGCTGCCAGAAACTATGCACAAACGCTAGCCAGACTATTGTATTGGAATTTTTAACAATTTTTGTTAGCTTTTCACGTCGCGCATTATGCAAAATATGCAATTTTCATCAGTTTTTCACACTTGGACGTCCCGCAGCAAACACAAAATTTTTAACTCGCGACGTGTGTGAGTGAGACGCATACTGTGCACGCTAACCATACTTAAATGAGGGCAAAGCACTTTGGCTGGGGGTTGGTGTTGTGTGTGAGTGCGATGACAGCATGTTGCTGACGCTCGAGCGTGTGAGCATGACGCATTTTTTGCAGCTTAAACAAACTGTCAATATTATTTTTAGAAATTTATCATTATTATTAAGATGCAATAGCTTTAGCGTGGCAAATTATTACAAATTACATGTTTGAACAAGTCGCATTTTAACTCAAATTGGCACTGTTATACTCAAAATGGCAACAGCAGTGCTGACAAAGTTCGGTTTAAGTGTTGAAAAATGCTAACTTTACTGTGTGGTCACACTCGACCGAGTCTGTACATTTGGCAACTCTGGCTATTGGCAGCGCCGTGTGTGTTGTTACAAAATCAATTGCGCTTGTTTTCATCTTTGCTGATTGAATTGCATTGAAATGTCAATACCATTTAGCGGCACGTTGCGCCGCTCGGGCGGCATTGTGTCAGCCATAGGCAAGCAGCTAAAAAGCGTTAATCTAAAAGGCGTCAAACGCATTACAGTGCAGTTCGATCCTTTTGCCGAAAATGTAAAAGCCACACGGTAAGCGAGAAGGAAAGAAACAGTGAGTGACTGGGAGGAAAAGATGGAGGGTTGATAGGGTTGGAAAAGCGCTTTCCCAGCACCCACAATTTATCGATTATGAAACATGCGCATTGCATCGCATATGGTAAAAGATTTTCACGAAACAAAAGTGCGTTCTTGACAATTGTAATAAAGAAAAATATTTAACCAATAAAATAGACAAAGTGCACCAAATCAGGATACATGAAATTGAACGAAACAAAATATAAATGTGACCACTATGTGGCGCACCTGACCGTTCTGCCACTTACCATAAACCTTGCCAATAATGCCCACCGCTGTGTTCAGTTGCAATGAGGTGCCCAGATCTGGGGGAAACGGTAGCGTATGGAGCTGGGCTGGTCCGCCAGCCAGCTCCCGCTCCGTTGACATCTTAGTCGGTGTCGGCGTCAGCTTGAGGCGTTCTTCCCTCTATTCCCACTGACAGATACAGCTTGAAGGAATAAGATTATACCAAATTAGTGAAGAAATTGCCTTGCGGTTTAAAATAAACATATTTATATTCAAATTACATAAAGACAGCTGAAAATATATTCTAGTTAATCCCATTTAATTTGTATTAAACAACAAATTCATATGAGAAATTAATCTATAAATAGACAAGCGCTGACTTAAGAAAGTAGTGGAAAGTGACTGGAAAAATCAATTAAATGTCCAAATAGAAAAAATAATGATAATATATGTTCAAATGTCATAATAATGGGATTATATTTGCTTATAAGTAGAATAAGGGATAGACAAGACAATTAATACCAAATACTGATAAATAAATGCATTTAGTAAATGGTGTGTTTGACTAAAAAGAAAGAGTATAGCGGCTTGTTTCCTTCTTTTCAGCTTTCATGTACATAATTTAAATGTAATTTAATATTCCCTTACTTTACAGAGAATTTCTCTTCCTGCTTTCCACGCCCAAAGTTTCGCAGTCGAACCCGAAGTGTATTGTTAAGCCGGATATAGTCTGCGATCGTTCACCAGCTGTCATTAAATTTTCGCTCATTGACTCGGCGCAAGGTAAGATCTCTAAACTAATTGATCAATAAATTTTCACTTGAGCTCTTTTTCATTTATTTATAGAACAAGCCAAAGTGAAGGAGATTCGTTTCAATAGCGACAATCTAAATACCCTGGAATTGCTGCAGCTTCTGAATAAGCACGTCTCCACATTAGCACCGCCAGAGGAGATTGTCAAGAAGGTTCTGACCAAGGCAGAGAAACAGAAGCTGGGCAGCGGCGCCGGTGGAAAGAAGGCCATTAAAAAGAAATAAATTCTATCTGTGACCAAAGACACCTCAGAGACCCTAGATCTCCAGCCACATCATGGCGCGGAAGCACAAGGGCACGCTGGCTGTCATTGAGCAGATCTATCAGGACATACCCGCTTTCACCGATATCTTCACTGAGGAGAGCTTCTACACGTTCGCCTTTTGTTTCGTTTGTGCCACAATTTTGGTGGCATTTATTTTATCTCGTTTTATCACCATCAAGCCCGTTGATTTCTGATTTGTGAGCCAACATTAAAAATATTTAAGCTTTAATATGTAAAACACTCCACTCCATTGTCTTTGCTTCGTACGACTGACCCTAAAAAAGGGCATGGGTATGGGTATGGGCATTGGGGCGCTGGGGCGCTGGAGCCTGGCAACCAGTCGGAGATTCGACTTCAGAGCCTGTTGCCTGTTGGTAACACAAACCAGTTTTGAGCAACAGCATCTCATGCACTTGAAAAGGGTATACGCCACCTCGAAAGGCAAAATGTAACGCCTTGACTAAAACACGTCTGGAACATAAATATTTAAGAAACGCATATTTAAAAGAGCCTTCATTTCCCTTTATCTCATAAGCTTACTAAAGTGGTTCTAGGCATTTCAATATTTTATCTTATATAAACTAATCTAGATTGTAGCAATATAATATGCTATATCGATCTAGGCAGGAGCTATATATATATATATCATCAGATGTCCCTACTTACTTATTGGAATCTTTTATTATTATCAGTAAGGAATTTAAATATTCCCACTTGTTAATAACAGGTATTCAATTTAACCAGCAATTCATTCATAATCAAATTATTTACTTGTTTTGCGTGTCGTACGATATTAGATATTACGGAGTCAACTAAAATTCTTAGGAATTTCATATGTTTAATATGAAGTACATACGCTGTTATCTCAGCCTGTATACCTCAATTTTTGTTGATATATTCATAGGCTTATCGATAGCTGATGACATAGTAAATAATAATAGTCAATCTTGACTGTCAAATTATTTCAGAATTTTTAAAGGTCTACCAGGTTTTGAATAAATTAAATAAGGTTAATAAAATATTATTTATGACATTCATAATAATTTCAAATTTGATTGTTTTATATTATTAATTATAAGTGTTAACCACACATATTAAAGACATTTTATATATGACGACTTTAAATATATTTGAAAGAGAAAAAATGACGCAAATGGTTTTACAAATGAAATTTCTCGACAATTTCATCTAAGTTCAAATAAGATATGCTTTTATCAAATGTAAGAGTATTTAATAGTCGGCATAGTGTGTATAACTTTTTCTTTCTCTCTGTCTCTCTCTGTTAGCAGCTCTCGCTCTTCTAAACCGGAAAATCATCTGCTTTGGTTGCAGTCAGCCGAAAATAAAAAAGTTGAGACAGTCGCTGCCGAAGGAGTTGAAGGGAAACAGGAGAGTGGGCTGAGAAATCGAGGGAGACAGAAAGAGACACAGGGCACAGCCTTATATAATTGCGCTTCGCAGGAATGGAAGCTGATGAAGAAGAGGAGGGGAAAGAAGCTGCTAAATATAATTGAACAAAGTGCCACACATAATTGCAAACTCATATAATTGGACCTGGGTGAAGGAGGTCAACCAGAATTAACCAGAAAACTGGCCACAGTGGCATAAGTATAGCCCTTTTTTAGTCAATAAACAGAAATCCCTTAAAGAGGAGAGCATACATACATAGATATGCTTTTTATTTGCATGTTGTGGCAGTATTTTAGGGTTAAACAGGTGTTTGCCTTGCAATAAATAGACCAAAGGCAAAGAAGAAGACGCAACGAGCGAAGAAAAACACACAAAATTTCACTTTCATTTCGCCGTTTGCAGTTTCTTTTTGCCACACAAACACAAGTTCAGAGAGTACTCAGAGGGAGAGGGAGATAGATAATAGTGTGAGTGGCAAATGAAAATTTCCAGCGCCCCCTTCAAAAAATAAAATAAAAATGCACTACTCGCTCACGTATGCAAAAGCTAAAGCTTCGAGTTGAACTTTTAAAATGGCGGGTGAATCGTGTCTGTGCATATGTGTGTGTATGAACAATGCATATCGATTGGAATTGCTGCAGATAAAAACAACAAACTGTTGAGATGCAGCCTGCATAATTTGGAGAAAGCTGTTACAACACACACTTCTGTAACGGCCCAAGATACATATGTGTACGTGTGTGTGCTTTTTAGTGTTAGTGTTTTATATATATACATGCATACACACACTTTCATGTATATAGAGAGTGTCGTCATTCAAGTTCAATGTCAGAAAAAGCTTTAGATTTCGTCTTCAAATTGATTTGCCGAAATTGTTGTGCGTGGGTTTTCGCCATGACGGCCATATTGGAAATTGTCTCGCGTCTGAATATCCCAATTGCACCACCCCCTCAATTTCATTAAATTAGTGTAGGACGCCGCCTGTTTGCATAACCCAGACTTGTGGTTGGGGCTGCTGTTGGTAATTGGCAGTGAAAGTGCTCATAGAACGCAGTGGCAACTCTCTACATTTACAGTTAAATTCTATAGATACTTATACTGCCGTACTTTTGGTTTTGTATGTCCTTCAATCAAATTTATTGGAATATACAAAACATGAACACTTACTTACACACACTCACACACACACATGCATTGCTGCACTTGTACATGGCCGTGCGGCAGCAGTAAAAACGAAGAAAATCGTTCGTGTGACCTTTCTACCAAAATATAAACACAAACTGGCTCTCTCGACACAGCTGGTGGTCTCGCTCGCACATAGATTTCGCTCTAGCCCAACGGCCATAGCATATGCTCAGGCGCCATCACAGTATAATACACACACTCAAATGGAGACAATACATATATGTATATATATTTATATATATAAAAGTTCCTTGAGCAACTTTTAGCTAAAATGGCGCGCGAGCTGCAGTCGCGTGGGCGTGCAGAAATTACTGCAGCTGTTCTGGAGCATGCAGGCAAGCACGAGTCTCTTGACGTTGCGACCCATACACGCCCACATACACACACACTATAAGCTCACCTTATCGCTAAATTGCAGCTGATGCGGCGCTTTATGGATTTGCCTATCAGCGACAAGTCGTTCGCTGTTCTTCAATTTGTTGTTTTATCTTCGTTGCTGATTTTTTTCGATCCGCTGCTGCTTCTGATTTTGTTAATAATCTTGTTTCAAAATTGTTACACATTAAAAGTTAGTTGATTGCCTGGCTTGAGATCTTCACAAATTTCCGTTGATTTTTGTTGGGTTCTTTCTGTTTGTTTTATATTTATTTTATATAATTTATTACAGTTACTTTAATTGTTATTGCTGAATGGTTGGTTAAATTTGTGACGTGATTATTTTCGAGCTTATTGCTGAAAATTGTTGCCATTGCCGCAACGCAATTTCTTTTGCTGCTGTTTTTGTTGTTGGTGTTGCCAGATCGTTACCGGGATAAAGTAACTTTTGCTCTCTCTTTCTCTGTCCCTCTCTCAGTCGTTTACGCACACATTTTCACATCAGCAACAAACTTGCGAAATTATTTTTTGTATTTATTTTTTTGTTCTTGATTGTTTATTTGTCTTAACAACAGTTTTTTGCAGCCGCTGACGTTTGTTCATATATTTCTCTGCAAGCTTTTATGTGCAAGTGTGTATGTGCGAGCGAGTCAGAGATTTTGACGTTGACGACGTTCGCTCGCTTCTTACCAATACCAGTGCAACTGGCTCACCGCTCTGCCGCTGCTGCTAATTGTTGTTATTTCTTTTCTTATTTGTAGTTGATTGTTGTTGTTGTTGTATTTGTCATTGCGGCAACGCGCTAACTTTTATGCCATAGAGTCGAGGAAAAAGCTTTTCTCAACAATGCGGCGCGCAGTCATGCATTGAAAAAAAATATAAAACAAACCTACACACACACTTACATATCAACACATAGGTGAGTGTGGCAACAGCAGCAGCAGCTTGCTGCAAATGAAAGCAGCAACAAAAACAACAACTTACGACGCAAAATAGCAACAGAATTTTCGTGTTTTAATTATTTAATAAATGTAACCGCTATACAGCACTTTTTACACATACAATTACAGTGTTAAACCGAGTGCGTTTGTTGTGCTTTTATATTTTTTGCCGAGATCAAAATACGAAATCAAAATCAAGCGATTTAGCGAACGCGCGGTTTGCCCGTTTGAAGTTGAATAAATACAAATATCTGCGCCAAGTATTCGCAAACCATGCACACACACTCTTTTCGTTGTGTTTGTGTGTATCTGTGTGCGCTTGCCGAGAGAGCGGCGGCGCGTGAGTGCAGCGAAGGAGAGAGCACAAGAGAGCGCCACTCTAGCACAGTGGGTGCCATTTGTATGCGTATGTGCGCCAAAAAATCATAACACAAACACAAGTCAAGGGCAACTTCGGAGTAACGGTTCTTTCTAGCAACAGACTGGCAGCACTTGTCGCTTTAAGGCGCATACAGTAACTACTCGACGTAACGCACAGCTAACTAATAATTAATAATTGAGGGGAACTTGAAACTGTAGAATATTGCAACATTTATATGCTGGTATACATAACTGTAGCCCACTGCTTGTTCTTGAACATCAAAAGTATTGCAATTTCTGAATGTTTGTCAGCTCGCTGCAGCTGCGATTCTTCAATTAAGCCACATTGTACCCTGTGCTGACAAACCTGATACCTCAGCTGTTTTATCAAAAATATTCATTGTACTACGAAAACAGCTTTTTATCGAATAGAGATTTCTTCCACAAATAGATAAAGTTATTTATCAATAATTCATCTCTATTTAACGAAGTTTTCTTAGGGTTTTGTTCGCTCGTAGGACTATAGAATGTACCAATTCTAGCTAATGGGCATGTCGCCAAGATTTATTTGTTCGTACTTACAGCTTACTTATGAAAGTCGTCGTTGGTTTAAGCGAATCTTTACTGTAGTCAGATAATATTTAATGCGTATATAGCAACATTTGCATGGCCAATTTATTTTAGAACCGAAAACTTGATTAAATGTGCAAAAAATTAATATATTGATTCGGGTAGTTTTTTTCAAATTCGGGAATTACGATTAATCGCGTCTCTATTTTGAGTTGGTGTGTGTGTTTGCTTGCCCTATATAGAAGGTATATAGATATCTGTGTGTGGGCTATATGTATAGGAGTATCTATGTGTTCTGCGCGTTATTTCTGCTTCTCATCCGGTTTGTCGGCCGAGGCGGCAGCTGCTGCAGCGGCGGCGGTCTCTTCTGCCTCGCCCTTCTTCTCGGCAGCAGAAGTGTCCTTGGAGGCGGCTGTGGGTGTTGCATCGTCGGCTGCCATAGTTGCGCCCGCTGGCAAGCTTTTCTCCAAGGCACGCACGAAGTCCTCCAGATTGCCCGAGTAGGCAGCAGCGACTGCATCATGAGACAGCTCGAACTGCTTGACCACGGGTCCCAGCTGAGCCGATTGGAGGGCGTTGGAGAACTGAGCGAGCGCCTGCTGGAATTGTGGGGAGCTGATGTGATCCTTGATCTGTTGCTTGCGATCCTCATCGGCATCTTCAGATTCCGGCAAATGCACAATCAACGATTTCACACGCTCCGGATCCGAAATCAGTTGATTGATCGCCTCGGCGCCGGACAGTGCGGTCGAGAGGTCGATATTTAGGGAACGACCTGCGCCATGTTCAGGGGAGAGATTGGATAAATAGGCTTGGAATGGATTCGCATAAGCTCCGCTGGCTGTTGCTGCTGCTGTCGCATTTGTCGCATTTTTCTTACCGGATCCATCCGCATCGACAGCCAAGCTGCCGCCTACGACCCCTCCTCCACTGCCTCCGCCTGCTCCTCCAGCTGCATCGCTCTGAGCGTTGCCGGCGCCGCCGCTGGTGCTCCGATTTCCACTGGACTTGCTCGGCTTGCTTGGCGCGGACACTGTGCGCGGCACATTCACGTTCTCCGGAGTCTGCAGGCCGGCGCTGCCGCCTCCACCACCTCCCGACGAGACTGCCGTGCGAGACGAGGGCGTGCGTGAGCTGCAAAGAGAAAAATAACCAAGATGGTTATAGATTTGATTGAGTGGAGTCAATTTTGATAACACTATGGACTTATGATATTACAATTAGAAGGAATGAGGTAAAATTTAAATATACCATATATATTACTTACAATATAAATTATACTTTAAGCATTACAAATAGGCAAATAATCAAAAATATTGGAATTTCCTGTACAGCTTGACATGCGAATTGCAAAGAGGGGCGATAATTGGAAAAGGAAATGATAACTGGTAATGAGTGAGCTATACAACGGGTATGGTTCACAATTCTAGTATATCGTTGCAGAGATCTGTAATTATTTAAATATTATGGGAATTTCCAGAGGACATTGAGTATACATATATATGTATAACTATATTAGTGTGGATGTATTTGTTCCATTAAACACAAAACATTTCAGCAAAATGTGTTTTGATGAAAAGTCTGCTGCTGTTCGTAAATTGCTATGCCAAGACGTTAAAAGCCAATATTGTAAGCTAATTAAAGCAATTCATCTGGTCTGGCAAATTTAAAGCGAGCTCCTCATACTCAATGTGATTTAGAAATTGAACTTTTAGATATTTCATAAACAAAGCCACTATAAGCTAAACTGTTTTACAATTCTCTTTACATATATACTCGGATATATATATTTTATGCGATACTCTAATATTTCTATATTCAAATATGTATATATGTTCGAATATATGTGTTTAAAGGGATTGGAAATTTTCTAGATATAAAATCCTTCCGCCTGATATTCTATTTGCTATTACCTATACATAAATATAAATAGTTAGACTACATACATACACTTCTAAGAAATGTATTTATCTGATATACTCTACATTATTTTAAAGTTATCTAATGACCTTCTCCAACTATAAAATCTATTGCTTCCGCTTGTGAAATAGTTGCAAAACATAAACCAAATTTAACAATGCAAAGAATTTTCCTTTTCGACTAAAATTTAAATTTACGATTCAATGAATGAATGAATTCCCTATATTGTTTTACATCTGGAAATAATTAATATGTACTCTATATACATACAATGTATATCTCTGTCCTTACTCCTATATATTGTATAACAAATTAGACTAGATATTTTCGATATTGCAGAAGTTCTAAACTTTTTGCCGTTTCCACTGTCTCAAATATCGTTTTTTTTGTATGTTCTCGTTTCCACTTGCCATATTTCCTAAAGCTTAATAGTTTCTCACATACATATTATACATGTTGTAAGTAAAATAAAAATATATTTTCAGTTATCCGATTTGCACTCACTTCATTTGACCCAGCAGCGAGCTGAGTCCGCCCATTTGGCCAACGCCGCCGAAGAGCTGCATTAGCTGCTGCTGCGACATATTGTTCAGCATGTACTGCAAGTCGGTGCCCTCGCTGCCGCTGCCGCCGCCGCCSCGTTGGTGGGCGGAGGGCGGATTGTTGAGCAGCTCGTTGATGCGACGGCAGTGCTCGTCGTCTTTGTCGGTTTTGGGCTCCTGCATCCAGAAGAACATGCGACGGGAACTGGACTTGAATTTCAGGACATAGACGCGACCCGATTTGCATTGATCCACGCGCTTGTACTCGAAGTCGTCAGGGAAGACGATGAGATCGTCCTCGATCTTACCACTGGTGCGATCCTTCCAGCAGAAGTGCATCAAGCCGTCATCGCTCTGGGTCATGTAGACGAGGCCCTTGCGAGCATCTGGATGAACCATTTTGCCAACCATATTCATGCGTCCAGCACGGAATTCCACAAGATTGGAGCTATTGGAGCTGCCCAAACCGCTTTGCCTGCCAAACATGATGCGGGCTCTTCTCGAAAGCTGCAATTGTATTGGGCGTTAAGTTGGGTTCGTCTCTACTGCTTTTCGCACACTCACTGGATATATAATGTGTGGGAATAAATATAAATTTGGTAATCCTTTAAAGAAAAATCGCCTGCTCTGCGGATGACGAGCAGTTTTTGACACCTTTTGCTAGTGATGGGAGCAGTTCGATTTTCAAGCAAACTAGAGCTGCCAGTGTTAGTGATATTGTTATAACAGCTCCCTTTGAGTAAAACAGTTTTACGCATTTCAAAAGTTAAAGCTGTCACATAAGAGTACCTAATTTCCATTGATATAAATTTACTGAAATTTCTACGATCTTTTTTGATTTTATTTTTGCTTACTATTATGAATTATTATTTTATTAATATATTATAAAACAATTTTTTGTTGTATGAAACGCATGTAAATTAATGCCAACGAATTTTAATATGTTGCTATACGACATTTAATTTAATATTTGTATAATTAAAATCTTTGAATAACTAATTTATGTGCAATAATTTTCTTCATTAAAACACTTTGCACATTAATGGTACAAATCATTTTAACAGTCTGGCAGCCTCAGTATGATTAGCAGTGTGACCATAACGTATCAAAGTTAATGTATATGTGTGTAAGATTTCTTCGCAACAACAATTTGCAGCTGAGTTTATTTAAAACCGAAAAGTGTTCGAGTGAGGAGCTCGCGAAGAATTTGTAACTAATAATTAATTTGAAAAAGTTTTGTATACTCAGTTAATTACATCTGAAGTTGGCAGTTTGTTCAATCGCGAAACTTAAAGCGCAATAAATCGTGAATTGTTTGTCATTCAACACAAGTGGTAAGAATAACATTTATTTCCGCATAATCATTGTCAATGTGTTCGCATTTTCATTTCTGTATTTAAACATTCTTTTGTTTATTTGGCAAAACAAATGCATGACGCACTTATTTTCATAAACATGAAGACAAATAATGTCGCCATTGTTTGTTAATTGCCTCATCTTTCGTCCTTGTCTGGCATGTTCCAGCAGCATCTCTTCTATTCTTAGTCCGCCTATTGCATTTCTTTTATCTGTTTAACCCTTTGGCGTCTTTGTTTATTGCGTTGCCAACATTTTTTTGTTGCTGCTGCTTTTGCGCATTTTGTTTTCAGCTGTTGCTTCACGCTTTGCTGTGGCCCATTTTCCGTCTATCTTATCTCTTTTCTTTCTTTACCCTATTTTATTTCTGAGCATTTCTGTGTTTGCGAAGTCACCTGGCGTGCAGGTTGCAAAACCAGTTTCTGCCCTCAACCTTGTCACAATTTATGTCTATTGCTATAGTAAATACATTAACTTAAAACGCACAAAACCGAATATTAGACGCAACCAAAAAAAAAAAAAAAAAAAAAAAAAAAAAAAAAAAAAAAAAAAAAAAGAAACACGAAGGCGAATGGCCGATAAGATAACGGCAAAAGTTTTTCGTATTCGAAACTTATACATACATATGCATGTGTGTGAGCAAAAACTAAACAACTGTGAATTCGCATTTAGTTGCAGCGATGTTGATGGAATTCTCATTTATGTCGCTTACTTATTTTTATTCTCTATCTGCTCTGTAAGCAAATCCGCCCCCACAGAGCATCTGGTGCCTGCGGTTGATGTTTATGGATCATGTTATCGACAAAAAATTCCAACTCTGCGAATTTATCATTGCACTCCCTTGATATTTATTATTGTTGTTTTTTTTTTCTGATGAAATTCAACTCTGTCCCGACTAGTTTGTACAAAAGTAATGAAGCTTGCTGTTTCTCTCTCTCTCGGTGTGTGTGGGCCAAATCTAGAAATGCGCATTATTGATACCTTACAGTCACTGTTAACGGCGCTGATGGCTTTCCGCGATTTAATTAAATTGACTGCCCAAATATACAGTTTGACCATCTAAAATGCCAAATTTATTACAGATTTTATTGCTAGTCACGAAAATGCATGTGAATACAATTTCATTTAATAATAATTTTAAAGATATTTATGTAATGAGATCTGAGCTTGATGTAGAACTAGTCACAGTACGAACGGTCACAGGGACTCAGTCACATTAGTGATTACTCATCTCTCTCTCTCTCTCTCTCTCTCTCTCTCTCTCTCACACCATGATACATTTGTAAAAAGCTCATCACGTGACGAGTAGACGTGAAGGTTGAAACTGAAAGCTCAGCTCAATTAAAAATGTTTTAATATGTTAACAGATTTTAATTTTTAATTTCAGCTAAAATGCGCACTCTTTACGCTCTATTGGCCCTGGTGGCTGTGGCTCAGGCCGTTTCCTTTGCTGATGTTATCAAAGAGGAGTGGAACACCTTTAAGGTAAGTAATTGATTGAGGAAGAATAGAGGAATAGACATGGATTGAGTTATCCGGTGACGAATTCTGGAATCAGAGGAAATTGGAATTTAGTAATCCGAGAATGGGGAAGGAAAAGAAGTTGCTCGAATTTAGAAGCAACTGTTTTCGTAACAGGTGTCAACTGCAGTTTGTGTGATTAATGCCTTTGTTACGTAGGATTTTGTTCCGCTTTATTTTTGTTTCAATGCATTTTTGACCGTTGAGTCATGTGCCGTTAATAATTTTTCTTTTCATTAATATTAGTATTANTATATTAAATGAAATTTATATCAAGAAAAAAATTCTTTTCATTGCAAATTATTGAAAATTTCAATCGAATATGAGTCAAAAAATGATTAAATTATGACTCGTGGAAGACTCTTTTATGATTAAAAGATGACTCGTGGAAGACTCTTTTATGATTAAAAACAAGAGTCATAAGCGACTCATCAAGAAGAGTCGCGGGTAGGGTACCATTTTCTCCCGACAGAACAGTCTTTTATGATCAGAAAATGAGCGCACATATGACTGTTTTCAATCATCGCGCGAGTCTTTTAAGACTAACTTATGCTCTGTTAAACGCAAAAATGCTTGCTGGGATGTTACTTTCTTTTGTATATGAACATATAAGCTACACGCAATTGCTCTCTTATATTTCTGCTCTCTCAGCTGTAAAAACCGACATACATGTAAATCATACATATATATTTACATTTATCGGATCAGCTTTTGTATAACAATACATACACAAATACTTTATAAGAATGACTATTTCTCCTTTATATTTGAAAGTATTGAGGAACATTTTTCAATCCAATAAATTATATGTTGCTAAGTTCTTTGATTCATCTAAACTATTCCTTCTGTACATACATAGAATATATGTACATTATTATATTACTCTCTTGTTGAATTAGGTTTTAACGACTCATGAAGTAGATTATGGAAAAACTTAATTTCTTCCGATTCTTCGAAAAAATAAAATAATTAACTAAAGCTTCATGTTTGGCGCCAGTGCAAAAAATTTACTAAAAGATAAACATATTCTATCGATGAAACGTATTATATTTATTATCGATATTTTATTTTTAGAAATACCAAACAGGTATTTAAACAATTTATATTATTAACTAACATGTTTATTTACCTGATGTACTTCTTTATGTATCTGTTAATATATAAACGGAATATTAATCTAAAAAAATGTTCGTATTATAAATTAATATGAATAAATATTTTTGCCATATATGTTGTGGTAAATTTATTTGTGGGTGTGTTTTTTGCATTTGAATTCTCAGATTCCCGCTCGGTAATTATTTTTTACTTCTATCAAAATTAAAAAGACTTTAATAAAACTTTTGTTGTGTTAATTTTCTTTTTAACGTATGTATGAATTGTTTACAAAATAATACTACGCTCGATAGTTTGACTTTTGCAGTATTTTATAGTACTAAGTATTTTTGAGAAACTACAATAGGGTCTTACTCTAGTATAGTATGAAACAAATTAAAATAATTTTTCATGATATACATATTGTCTATCTGCGATTTTATAAAATATAATAATAAATATATTAACAAGTTAAATTAAGCACGCGACTTACCAATTTAGTAATAACAAAATAAATTAATTGCCATATACATTTAAGGTAAATATAATTATGCATGTGTATGCCAAAGATAAAATTTATCATTTGTATAAATTACAATGTTTTTCTTATTGATAATATTGATTTACATCCAATTCATCAATGGATTGAGTACAACAATACATTTGTGTGTGTACATCAAACTTGCGTGTATTAAATAGACATTATAGTGTTTGTTACATTCACATCTTTTTTTCACTGTTATAAAACTGCGAAAAAGTGAAAAGCAGACTTTTAAATTGTTTACATATGAATGTTTAGAAACGTGCAAACGAATGAGGAAAAAGAAACGACGTTTACTATTCATTATAATTTGCATGTAAATCTTTTTTGCGTGGAGTTTGATTTTGTGTATGTACATATGTATATAAATATCGATTTTATCATTGTGAACATAAATATCTATGTATGTATGTACATAAGTATCGATTTTACCATTGTGAACATAAATACTAGTGTATATTCTTACGATTCTACTGGAAGTTAAATAAAACGGTGTTAACAATGCAAAAACGAATGAGAGAGCTGAAAATAAAAACAATTGAAATACTTCTCCGATAAGATTCTAAGGCTTGTCCAAAAGAGAAAATATATCACGGAATCTATGACTAAGAAATATGGATTTTTGCAGAAGCGCCGACTAGGCCTGGCTGCGAAATTCGTGCTTCGTTATCGGTAGAAAAATATGCGTAAGCTTTGTATAGAATTGTAGAATAACTAAATTAACAGAATGAAAACAATTTTTTTTTATGTCATTTTGCTTGTGGACTCCATTTTGTATATATTTCATTGATTATATTATCAAAGAGAAACGGGAAGATAAAATCAATGTCTATTTGTAAACAAATTAGAATGTTGCAAAGTGATGCCATCCGACTTGATAATACACTATTGCAGTCGAAATAGATATTGAATATTCTAAGTCGATATTTACAATTTATTTTATACGAAGTAAGGAAGAAATTATATGTAATTTCATTTGTAATTTTACGACATACATAATAATATTCCCGATATAAAAATATTAGGTATATAGGCGGTAAACTTGCATGCCTATAGTTGCTTATAGTTGTTTTTTCGATGTGCAATTCTATAATTTTTGTAATTGTTACATGTAAACCGGTAGATGAACGGTGATTATGTATGTATATACTTTATAGTATTTTTACATATTAAGTTTATTGATTATTAAGTTCATGGATGTCGTCTTGTATATAATTTGTGAAACTGTCGAGGCAATATTCTAATAATAATTAGTTTTCAATACACTCAAACTACGAATGCCGGCTTACACTGATCAAGCCGATGAGCTGTGAAAGCTAACTTAGCATATGAAGAAAAGAGAAAAAAGAAAACGACTGAGCGCAATCTCTTACCAATATACTAGTTGAGCAAACTGCCGCTCTGAAATGGAATTACGATTATATTTTCAGTGATAGCTCGAGGTGATTTTTGCAGGGTTGAAGTGTTAAGGTTCCTGGCTATTTTAGAGAAATTAATTAATTCTTAGTTTTCAATGTCTAAAATTTCAATCCCTATAATATTTACTTGCTATCCAAATATGAGACTACTAAGAACGATAATGAGATAGTAAAATAGTATAAAATACAAATAAAATTTTAGATACCGATTTAAAATTTTTTTTTCAAATAGCTTATTATTATTAATATTATTGTTATTACTGTTGCAATTAATGTTGCAGCCAAGCTGATTAAAAGCCCGTCACATGCCGGCTCACATGACAGACTCAATATATGTAGCTGAGCCGTCTTATGAGATGCCGACATAAATCTCTTTATCAGTGGCCTGGCTTGCAGTACCGTTAGACCGCCCAGCCATTGATAATCGTGCGTTCCGGCTTGTGCCTGGCATCGATCGATGATAAGCCACATGCATAGTCAACCAATTCAAAAACACACTCAACTCTAAACAATTGACACTAAGTGCTTAATTCTGACTCATTATTCATGCGTATTTACATTCTCGTATATATTTGTCTTGCATTCTTGTTTATTGATTATTACTTTTCGATTTGTTGGCTCTTTGTCTTTGCCCTGGGTTAGTTTGCGTCGTAGAGCGCTTTGAACTCTCTCTTAATCAGCTTATCAGCTCCCACTTGCAATAAATATTATGTGCCCACTCTTATCAGCTATGAAACGCTTAAAAAGGTTTTCAGCTTTGTCTCTAGACTAGAAGTGGATCATAGTTGCAAATACATGAACATTATAAATAAACGGCTTCATTTCAATCTAGAAAGTGACGAAAGAAATCCCTGGAAGACGTAGATGTTGTTTTCAAAATTAACCATTAACTGTTATTATAGTAAATATATTATAGAAATATTCCATTTCGTCGAGATTGAAAGAAATCAACACATTTTGTTACTTAAAAGCTAGCTTATATCGGTTTAAATATCGCATACTAAGAATTTCAGTTGTTCTTAACAAATAATTTAGTTATTCTTCAAAGTTTGCATAAGTTAATAATTCTTATTATCTCCAATTTCACTCTCAATTGTTCAATATTGCATTAATGCCTACTTTTAAGCGCCGGTAAAAATGGAATTTGTTAATTATTTATAAAATAAATAAATTTGTTACCTATTTTCTTAATTATAATGACGTTCTTATCAAGAACTAAAAGAATTTCACATTTGGCAACTGTTGATAAATTCGACATTTGAATCTTGGCGCCAACTGGTACTTGATAGCAATTTCAAAAGTGTTGCCTGCTTTTGCGCGGCATTTACTTTTCCAGTGCTGTACAGTGCGAACAGAATACGCAACAGTTACATATCAATTTAATTTGCACATCGGGCATATTGTGTTTACTTATACGTACGTATTCAACGGTTGAGCGTAAACATACTGTGTTTACTGGGTGTTGTGATTTTTCATATTCAAATCGACAAGTGGAACGCGAAAACAAATACCAGGCCTCGAAGAACTTTGAACCGAAAGTATTGCGATAAGCGTGTGAATGCGGCCCCCCAAACACTGTCGAATGTTGTCTTTTTTCTCTTTTTCCATTTAATTGACATCTCAATTTATGCGCAAAATAAATAACAATAAGAACAACAATGCAAAGTTAAAGCGCGTCAGAGTTTCGCGAAATGGCGTGTGACTAGCTTGACAAGCTTATCACTTGGTTTAATGTTTGTCATTGCTATGCTGTGTTGTTTTGTGCTGTGCTGTGCTGTGCGACGAAAAAGCTTGCGAGGCTCTTCATTGTTATTGTTTTTGCAAACTGCACGAAAATGGAGAGCAAAGTGGAATTAGCAAGTGGGCGATTAGTATTRTAAGAGTATGTGTGTGTGTGTGTGGACGTGAGAGTAGCCTTTACAGACACATATGCATGAATATCCTAATAAATCAGCGGATTTATACGTACCAAACCGGTTCATTCGTGCGAAACGGTTTCAATACATACATATCTGCTTGTAAACATTAACACACACTGGTGAACATCTATTTGATTGTATGTACAAAAATACGAAAAGCATTTCATGTGCCACACGCACATATATACCCACACAAGTATGCCTTATTTTTGGATCTGAGCGTGTGTGTGTGCGCGCAGTGGCAGCGCTACAAACTAAAACAGGCATACGGACATTTTTTGATATTACCCACCCGACGCTGAACGCAAGCAGACGCACCACTTGCGAGCGAGCGCTAGAGTGCAAACAAAAAGAGAGAGGGAGAGAGTAACCAGAGAGGGTAACCGCGCGCGCGCTGAAATCAAAAGTAGAGCGAGCGAGACGGAGCTATTGATAGAGAGAGCATTACCCGTTAAGAGACATTAAAGGAAAGCACGCGCGTCATTCAGAAAAACGTGCTAATGCAAGCAGAACAAATAAAAAATTACGGATATTATTAAATTATATAAAAGACGTAAAATAAGTTATGGCCAGCTCCGCCAGTGAATTGCACATTATTGTGGATGTAGTGGTGCCGGTTTTGTTCATAGCTGCACTCTGTGTGGTCAACTGTTTTGTGCTGCGCATCATAATGCGTAAGCGTAAAGAATACCAATACTTAACAGAACGCACTGCCAATACAATAGAAGCAGCAGCAGCTAATGCCGCACCAGCAGCTGCTGATGGGCCCACCACCTCATCGGCCTGCACCGATCGCAGCTGTCCAATCGAAATGGAGCGACTTTAGCGGCCAAACTCCGCCAACCAGTGTTGCCTTAGCATATAACAAATAATACTAATTTTAGTACAAAAGTAGTCTCGGATTCTCAGTAACTGTATATTTACAGCAAATATCATTGAGAAATGGATAATAGAAAAAMAAAAAAACGAAGTGCTTACAGTCGTTTATCATGATTTTATCTATAGATGTTTAGGCATGTGCATTTAAAAACTGTTCCTACGTGGTTTTTCTATTAACTTTTTACGGACTCGCCAAGTCTCTTTTTTAATGTGTAAATTTGTTTAATAATACAAATAAACAAAAATGAAAAAAAAAATTAAAAATTGTTTTTTGCATGTGCGAAAAATCAATAGGTGGGTTTACGATGCTTACTCTTTGCCCTTCTCCGCTGGAAGTTCTCAGAGCAGATAATTTCCAGCAATTACATCAATAATATGCAAAAGAAGAAAAAAAACAGCAAATGACCAAGCGCTTATCGCAGCAAGTCATCCAACAACAAGAGCAACATTATTATCAACAGAGTCACCATTAACATCATCATCGTCATCGTCATCATCATTATGATTACCATCCGGTCAGGGCGTCAATTGCTCCCATGTCAGCTATAATTATACGATATATGTATGTGGGCAGGGCGGCCTGTTTGACCAGTTTGTTTGAATGCATTTAGTGAATTTTTACTGGATATCAAATTAATGTTCGTTGTTCTGTCCATGCTCTAGGGGCTGGACAAAGCAGGGTATTTGAGTTTTCATTTGTTGTATATAGCACGAACAGATCGAGTAGTAGTCGTAATAGAGGATTTCAGATCGACCGGTTTAGTATATTAGCTAATGTTAATATATCTTTATAGGTAGGTAGCACAAAATACCGGCAATACTAAATGGACACTTGCGTTAATTCTCTATGAATATAGTGGTGTAACTCTGGGTTATTGTCTATTTTCACTTGGTTAAAACCTTATTTCATTTATGTACATATATAAAGGAAACATTTCAGGGTGCAGACCCTTTTAAGGGTATGCTATAATCTATTTCATAGTCCGTTTCGCGTACGTAAACATAGTTTTTTTTTATTCTTTTGGGTATTTTTACTATTCTTCATAACACTTTTAACAACTTCAGGCCGAATTGACTCGTTAACATGTTTATAGCTAGTTTTATGGCGTTGACGAGTTTTATTGGCCTTAGCTACTGGGTTTGGTGGCACCTTTTGTCCGGTTAGCGATAAGACAGCTGTCAGAGGCTTATCTCATTGCAAGAGCAATAAATCGAATCTATGAAATTGAGTCCGAATCAGAATTAGAATCCGAATCAGAATAAGAGTCGATGCTTTGGTTAGGTAAACCTGAACTTCGACTCGCCGTCAGTCAGGGCATGTGCATTCGATTGTGTGTGTGCGGCGCTATCTAATCGCTGGCCGTGTGGAGAGTAGGTATAAAGCTAATAACAAGTCCTGATAACAGTTTTTCTGATAAGCGTAATTGTATATACATATGTGTGTCTACACTCTCTCTAATTGCAGCTGGAGCATCGTAAGACTTATCAAGATGAGACTGAGGAACGCTTCCGCCTGAAGATCTTTAACGAGAACAAGCACAAGATTGCGAAGCACAACCAACGCTATGCCGCAGGTGAGGTTACCTTTAAGATGGCCGTTAACAAGTATGCGGATATGCTGCATCATGAGTTCCGCGAGACCTTGAACGGATTCAATTACACCCTGCACAAGGAGCTTCGGTAAGTATAGCAGCCAATCTTGAAAAGACTCGATTTATAAGAAAATCAACCCGAATAGCGCTTCGGATCCCAGCTTTACTGGCATTACGTTCATCTCGCCGGCGCATGTTAAGCTGCCAAAGTCAGTGGATTGGCGCGAGAAGGGAGCCGTTACCGCAGTTAAGGATCAGGGACACTGCGGCAGCTGTTGGGCATTCTCCAGTACTGGCGCCCTTGAGGGTCAGCATTTCCGTAAGACGGGCACTTTGGTCTCGCTCTCCGAGCAGAATCTGGTTGATTGCTCCGCCAAATATGGCAACAATGGCTGCAACGGAGGCTTGATGGACAACGCCTTCCGTTACATCAAGGATAATGGTGGCATTGATACCGAGAAATCGTATCCATATGAGGGCATTGATGACTCCTGCCATTTCAACAAGGGCAGCATTGGTGCCACGGATCGCGGTTTTGTCGACATCCCCCAGGGCAATGAGAAAAAAATGGCGGAGGCTGTGGCCACTATTGGACCTGTCTCAGTGGCCATCGATGCATCGCACGAGTCGTTCCAGTTCTACTCTGAGGGTATCTACAATGAACCCGAATGTGATTCTCAAAATCTGGATCACGGTGTCCTCGTTGTTGGCTACGGCACCGATGAGAGCGGCAAGGACTACTGGCTGGTCAAGAACTCGTGGGGCACCACTTGGGGAGACAAGGGCTTCATTAAGATGGCTCGCAATGAGGACAACCAGTGCGGCATTGCTTCCTCCTCTAGCTATCCTCTGGTCTAGGCGAATTTATATTTGCGATAAATGTGTTTGCATCGACGGTCGACCTCATTAATATTTAATCACAAACAAAATACCTTTTATATTCCAATGCGATCACCTCAGAAGTAAACGCTTATAATTTAATGGGCATAATTAATTATCTGTAAAACTCATCATCAATTTTTATATGATTTGCCATTTAAATCTTGATACAAATTAGGCATATTACAATGTTGAAGTTTTGTATGAAATAAAAACCTATATTATAAAATATGAATGTTTCTTAATTTGAGGGAGGTAATGCAAAGCGAAATGTTTTTATTTAAATTCAATCATTTTAACAGATAAAACAGTTATTTGATATTTTTTTGGAAAAGCTTAACTTGTATAAGTTTTTTACTGATAATATTAGTTTATTAATATTTAACAGTTTGAGTTTTAATTGATTTTATTTACATTGAGTCGTTGAAAATTAAAAAGATAACAGCTGATAGCAATGTATGTCTCTAGCCCTGGCACACTCGATTTATATACAAATTAATCGATATATTCTGGTCGCACGCGTATCGATACAAAACAGCTGTTGTTTTATAATACATATAATGCGATATTGTGCTAGCTAATAAAAATTTAAATAAAAGAGCCTGAAAGAATGTTATTAACGCTGCGTGTGCCGAGATCCCGCCTATATCTGGGCCGCCAACAGCATCGTCGCCTCTTGGCCAGCACCGCTCCCGAGGAGGCCAAAAGACAGGCAACACAACACCCCTTGCAATTGGAAATCAATGGAAACACGTACCCCACAGACAGCTGGACGAATGTGACCCCGAAGATATTGTCACATCTGGGTTTGAATAAGCATCTGCAGCGTGATCATCCATTGTCGATAATACGACAGCGCATTGTCAATTATTTTTATGGTGCCTATCGCAATCAGCGTGGCAATCCCTTATTTTCCGTCTATGATAAACTTAGTCCAATAGTCACGGTGCAACAGAACTTCGACAATCTACTCATACCCATCGATCATGTAAGTCGCCAGAAATCGGATTGCTACTATGTGAACCGCGAGCATTTGTTGCGCGCCCATACGACGGCTCATCAAGTGGAGCTGATTTCGGGTGGACTGGATAACTTCTTGGTTGTCGGCGAGGTGTATAGACGGGATGAGATCGATAGCACACATTACCCAGTGTTCCATCAGGCGGATGCAGTGCGTCTTGTCACTAAGGATAAGCTGTTCGAACGTAATCCTGGTCTGGAGCTATTCGAGGAGACGTGGAGTGGCTCGCTAGCAGATCCAAAACGCATTTTGCCCTCATCCAAGTGCATGGATCAGACAAAGCAGCCGTGTCACACTCTAGAGGCTGTCAAACTGATGGAACACGAAATGAAGCACGTCCTGGTGGGCCTTACGAAGGATCTCTTTGGTCCCCGCATTAAATATCGGTGGGTGGACACGTATTTTCCATTTACACAGCCCTCGTGGGAGTTGGAAATCTACTTCAAGGACAACTGGCTGGAGGTGCTTGGTTGTGGCATCATGCGCCACGAGATTCTGCAAAAGGCGGGCGTTCATCAGTCGATTGGTTATGCCTTTGGAGTGGGTCTGGAGCGATTGGCTATGATTCTATTCGATATTCCGGACATTCGACTGTTTTGGTCGAACGATAGCGGCTTTCTGTCTCAGTTTAGCGAACAGGATCTACAAAATCTGCCCAAATACAAACCTATCTCACATTATCCGCAATGCTCAAACGATTTATCCTTCTGGCTGCCAGCCAATGTGGAGATCGATGCTGGATTCTCAGCCAATGATTTTTATGATCTAGCGCGCACTATTGCCGGGGACGTGGTGGAACAGGTGCGAAAATTTTTCCTCCATATGAATAACATTACATTCTACTCCTTTTCAGATAAGTTTGGTGGACAAATTCAAGCATCCAAAGACGGGCAAAACCAGCCTTTGCTTCCGCATTGTTTATCGGCATATGGAACGCACATTAACTCAGGCTGAAGTAAATGAGATACATAAACACATAGCTGACGCCAGTGTGGAGGCCTTTAATGTGCAAATACGCTAGTCATAGTTAAATAAAATTGTTTTTAAAGTAAAAGAAACCGATATTTGTTTTCAAAAAGGAAAAATAAACATCTATGCAATTCCGTGTAAAGTAATCGATGCCTTTTCTGTACAATCGATAGACGATATTTAAACACTGTACAGCACTGTTTCTGAGGCTTTACGTGCAAGCCGTAGAGTGCGGCGTTGTTAAAGTATATACGTCTACATTAATTTTATGAAATTCAGGTTAAAATGTCCATTTTAGAAGCAGACGATGTGCTGTACAGCATTTTGGCATTAGTCATTATTGAGAATGCTCTGGAAATTTATATAGCCTATCGCCAGGTGAGTCATATACAAAATGCCGGCACGTGCCAGCGTTCAAGGCGGCAATTAATGTTTGTCTATGTATTTTACAAGGTGTAGTATCTAAGTGATAGTATGTGTATATTTAGCGCGTTAAATGCCAGCCGAGTTCGTTGATTTGCCAGAGACACTGTTGATACTAGATATATTGCATTTTCCTTCCCCACAGGTGAAAGTCTATCGAAATGCGTTGACTGTGCCCACTGAGCTGAAGGCTCATATGAGCTCGGAGACGTTCCATAAGGCACGCAAATATGGCCTGGATGGTGAGAACTTTGGCATCTTTAAAGCCGTGGTGATGGACGTGCTGCTTCTTTGCCTGGAACTGTATATTGGATTGATCGCATTGCTCTGGCAAATGTCGGTAGATGTGGTCGAACGTCTGCAATGGGACTCTAGCAATGAGATTATTGTCAGCCTCGTCTTTGTGCTCATCTCGAATGTGTTGTCCACATTTAAATCGCTGCCATTTAAGATCTACAAGATCTTCGTGCTGGAGGAAAAGCATGGCTTTAATAAGCAAACGGCGGGTTTCTTTGCCTGGGATCAGGTCAAGGGCTTCCTGGTTACCCAGATTGTAATGCTGCCCATTACAGCGGCTATCATCTTTATTGTGCAGCGCGGTGGCGACAATTTCTTCATTTGGCTATGGGTATTCGCCGGCGTCATCTCCCTGGTGCTACTTACCCTTTATCCGATCTTCATTGCGCCGCTCTTCGATAAGTACACGCCCCTGGAGGAGGGCCCACTGCGTCAGTCCATCGAGAATTTGGCTGCCTCGCTCAAGTTTCCATTGACCAAGCTATATGTTGTGGAGGGCTCGAAACGTTCTTCGCACAGCAATGCATACTTTTATGGCCTTTGGAACTCGAAGCGGATTGTGCTCTTCGACACACTCCTGTTGAACAAAGGGAAACCCGACGATTCGGAGCTGAATGACGATGAGAAGGGCAAGGGCTGCACGGATGAGGAGGTGCTGGCTGTGCTTGGCCATGAGCTGGGCCACTGGAAGCTGGGACATGTGACCAAGAATATTATCATAATGCAGGTCCATCTGTTCCTCATGTTTCTTGTCTTTGGCTACTTGTTTAAGTATGCGCCATTCTATGAGGCACTGGGCTTTCCGCCGGGCACACGACCCATACTCGTTGGTCTACTGATCATCTTCACGTACGTGATGGCACCTTACAATGCCATCATCAACTTTGCCATGACAATATTGTCGCGTCGCTTCGAATATCAGGCGGATGAGTTTGCCCACAAGCTAGGCTTCGAGCAACAATTGTGCCGTGCTCTGATCAAGCTCAATTTGGACAATTTGGGCTTCCCCATCTATGACTGGCTGTACTCCACCTGGAATCATTCGCATCCAACACTGCTGCAGCGCTTGGCACGCCTTAAGCAGTTGGGACAGTCGCAGAAGAAGGTGCAGTAAACTACGAGGTGGGCATTTTGGCCGCGCATTCAAGTGCGAGACTGTAGACCAAAGCATTTAGCTTCTCTCTCACTGTCTCTCTCCCCCACTTACTCTCTCTCGCTGTATTCTGTAAACCGTATCCGTATCATAGTAGTCCCTCTCTCTCCTTGTTTAGTTGTATATTGTGTAGATTTCAATAAAACAAGCGATAGCCGACTTGACCAATAAACAAACAAATCTAAAAACTAAATCGAAAACAAAATAATACAAAATACGACAAAATTCCAAAATGTGGATATCAAATGTATTTGGCTGAAATGTCAGATACCATTAACGTACAATGATTGTCCAGTTCTGGAATGATCCCGCTGTAATACTCCTCTGCCTAATGATCATTCTCTTGGTGGATAATCTGTGGAACCTCTACCTGATTCTGCGCGAGGTAAACAACCGAATTCCCATTGCCTCCATATATTTTAAGAGATCCCTATTATAGATTAAAATGGTTTATGGTGCGAGGCATGTGCCGGAGGTGTTGCGTCCGTATTTATCCCAGGAGCTGTTTGAGAGAATGCGCAGATATAAGCTGCACAAGAGCTGGTTCATCATAGTCAATACGCTCATTATGGTCGTCATTTGTGGCTGCCTTGAATTGTATTTTGGTTTCTACGGACTGCTTTGGGATTTGGTTGCCAGGTGCGCCATCTGGTCGTGGATGAAGCACGAGATCTGGATGTCATTCGTCTACTTGATCTTTCTCAGCCTTTATATATTGGTTAAGTCGCTGCCGGGCAAAATCTATGAGAAATGCTGCATCAGAAAGCTGGTAAAGCAACCCAAGCGCAGTTGGTCGCAGCGCATTGCCATGGAGCTGGTGGACATCTGCTGCTCACTGCTGCTCATGGCCACAATGGTCGCGGTGGTCGTGTCTATGGTGAACGCCTTCAATCAGTACGCCTTCGTGGGCATCTATCTGATGGCCGTGCTGCTGACCGTGATTATCATTTTGATAATCCCCATTGCGATTGATCCTTTCGTTGGCCAGCGTGTGCAGTTGGAGAATCAGGCGCTAAAAGCGGGTCTCGAACAGCTCACCCGCCGCGTGGGCTTCTCAATGCGGTATGTCCAGATTATACACGTCCGAGACCCGAACGTGGGCAGCAATGCCTTCTTCTTTGGCAGCTGCTGCCTGAAGCGCATTGTGATCTTCGATACGCTGTTGTTGAATAGGGGATTGGCCAGCGACGCGCGGCTGCCGCCGGAGGAAAGGGGCAAGGGTTTGCCGAATGAACATGTCCTGGCTGTGGTCGCCCACGAGCTGGGCCATTGGAAGCGGGGCCACTTCTATAAGGCCATTGTCATGTTCCAGCTGCACCTGCTGATCACGCTCGTGCTGTTCGTCATCTGCTATACGCACGGGCCCATCTACCAGGCGGTTGGCTTCGATGTGGGCGTCCAGCCGGTTATAGTGGGCTTTATCGTCATCTTTGGCTTTCTGCTGACGCCCTATCTAACCATCTCCAATGTGCTAATGCTCACGATGACGCGACAATTCGAGTACGAGGCGGACAAGTTCGCCTTCCAGCTGGGCTATGCGGCGCACCTGCGCATGGCGCTGCTCAAGCTCTATGCGGACAATCTCACATTCCCCCTGTCGGACACCTGCTACTCCAGCTGGCATCACACACATCCCACGATGCTGCATCGCTTGCAGCGCTTGGAGCGCCTCGAAAGTAATGGAACCTAAAATTCGAATTATTAACAAACAGAAAAAAACATAGCTAGCTACGAATACATATGTATATTCAAATCCAACTGCCACTTTCGGATGTATAATGGAATAGATATATTTATTTATATATGCCGATTGTTGATTTATTTGTTATTCTATTGTTTATATTGGTTTGGTAACATGATCATATCCTGAGCGATGGTATCCTACGACACTTGGCCGAAGATAGATCCGCGAATACTGCTCTATCTTATGATGGTGGTGCTGTTCCTCGACCACATTTGGGAAATAATATTGGCCAAGCGACAGGTAAGCGAGGGCGGAGCTCTCAACGCAGATCAATCAATCAATGAATCAATTATTCACCGGAATCATATTTTCGTCTAGTAGCAACTGACCTGCCTGAATGCCATCATGGTGCCGGACCCGTTAAGAGATATTATACCGCCGGAGATCTTTCATCGCGCCCGCGTATATGAATTGCACAAAATGGAGCTCTTCATATGGAAAAATATCATCGATTTGATCGTCAGCCTATTGGAATTATATTTTGGGTTTTATCCATTTGTCTGGGGGCTGGCCGCTAGCACGTTGGCCCCCCTAACACGTCGAGAGCTGTGGATTAGCCTGATCTTTGTATTCTATCTAACTATATATATATCGCTGCGCTGCCTGCCCATCCTGATATACGATAAGTGCATCTTGGAGTTGAGATATGGAACGCACCGACGATTTCCTTGCTATATGTACCTGTTGATGGGCCTATTGTGCATTATCCTCGCACAGATAATCCTGGCACCGCTCACCCTGTTGATTGTGTTCAGTGTTCAGATCATGGGATTCTTTTTCTTTTTGTATTTCTGGCTAATGTGGGCCGCCTTTACCTTGTTTCTCGTCTTCTTTCTGCCCTATCTGTGTGTGCCTTGCATTGGTGTCCAGCGTCGACTGCCACCCGGGAGCCCCCTCTATGCGGATGTCCAGGTCGTTTGCGATCAGACGGGATTCCCCATGAATCGGGTGTTCATCATTCAGACCAAGTCCATGCAGTACAGCAATGCCTACTTCTACGGCAGCTGCTGCCTGAAGCGCATCGTCATCTTCGATACGTTACTCCTTAATAAGGGTCAGCCGGTCACGCAGCTGCAGCCGTATGAGATTGGACGTGGCCTGACCAATCCACAGGTGGTCGCCGTAGTTGCACACGAGCTAGGCCACTGGAAGAGCGGACACTTCTACAAGGCCACATTCATCATGAAGCTGCATTTCCTTCTGACGATGGTCCTATTCGGCTTGTTCTTCCACTGCCCGTACTTGTATGAGGCGGTTGGCTTCGCCCCGGGTGTCTGGCCAATTATTGTCGGCTTTTTGATCGTGCTGCGATTTGCACTCACGCCCTATCTGACGCTGGCCAATTTCCTGATGCTGTGGAATCTACGACGCTTCGAATATGCCGCGGATCGATTCGCCCATCGACTGGGCTACTCTCTGCTGCTGCGCTCGGCGCTCATGAAAATCTATGCGGACCACATGAGCTTCCCGGTCTACGATACCTGCTATGCTCGTTGGCATCATACGCATCCAACCATATTGCAGCGATTGGCCTATCAGCAAAAACTGGATGAGGAGGCCTACTTGAGAGCGTAGTTGATCCGTCTCTGTATAAATTTGTAGTTAAAAGAATTTAACTTTTTTTTTTTTGTTTTTTGGCTCTGGTTTTATAATTCGAGTAGTCCGTGTATTTAGTGTGCAGTTAATCTAAATGTTTATGTGTTCTTTTTCTAGCATTTTTTACAAAAATTACTGGTATTTCAGTATTCCTATAAAATTCCAATTGAGCGACCATGTCGTTTGGGTGCATTACCAAATTGAATGTTAACATCAACAAGTGGTAAGTGAACTCGACAACTGATCTTGGTATTCGTATTGCAGTAATATCCCTTTGTAATATCCTCAGCCAAACGCACATCACGTATGCCAACAATTCAACGCGTTTTCTGATCAACAACCCGTCCGGCTTCGTTTTTCGTAGCATGGGCTCCACGGTCTGCCGCTGCTGCACGGATTGCGCCAGCCAGGGCATTGGCTTCCTTAAACGACATTTCGGACGTGGCGGAAGCATTCGGAAAACGCCTTCCCTATGCGATATGCTTTTATCTATTGGACTTAACGACTATGCGCATTACGAACCGAACGCCGTCGATCACAAACTCCAGTCCGATCAGATGGATGACGGAGACCATCAAGAGAGCGATGAGCAGCAGGTGAAAAAGCTCTTCACCTGGCATCTGGAGGATGTGCCCGTGGTGAAGCCGCAGCGTGCTACCAAAATTGTTAGGCGCAAGGGTCGATTGCAAGTGTCCTGTCTCGCTTGGCATTTGGACAGCTGCAAGTGGAGGAATTTTAGTGCCAAGGACTATGAGATGCCCAAATGGTATGGTATATATATATATCGAGCTATATATAAACTATACATATAAGTTTATATAGTAAGAGTATTATTTGCCCAATTTACAAACGACTTTTATGTATATAAATTCCCTACAGATCATCTGAAAGGTATGAATGCAAATCTTCTCACAGACATCTAAATTTTAGTATATATTTGTCCAGATCTGAAAAGCTTTGCTTCACTTTTTCGAGGAACAATTACTACAACAGTATTAGCTATATAATTTATGAAATAGATCATTTTCTAATTTGGAAAAATTGGATTCACAAACATAAATACCCTATCATTGAGTTAACCCGTTTCGTGGGTTAAGGGGCATCGATTCGTCGCAATTTGTATTTAAATCGTATCGAGGGAATTTGATATTTTTCAACATTAGGGTATCAGTAGTTTCATTTTGCTAGATGGGTATGTTTTCAGAAAATGTTTTGTATAGAGTTGATGGGTTTGTTTTAAATAGTTCCTACTTCTCAATTATTTCTGTTCCATTATCAATGACAAAAGTTATGCTCTTAACGTTTATTCGTCATTTGCACAAATAAAATTCGATTTTGAATGATCGATAACGATCATTTATGTGTCGACTGAATGATACACATAGGTCATGATAGTCGTTGTAGCATGAGCCCATTGAAAATGGAAATTTGACTATCTAGTTATGTCCGTCTCTTTGTTCGTTTTAGCACAATGGCCAATATTTGAATGCTTGGTAAAATTTGAATTTTTAGAAGAAAGGCAGGGTCGAACAGTTTCGACTGGAGCACACTATATTGTTCTAGACTAGTCTAGTCTAGTCACTTAATCATTAATCTATATACCTAAGATTCAGCTAGTACCATTTGTTGCCCTACTCCGATTTAGCATATATATAGATTTACGTTTTAGAAACTAATACACTCTTCTTTTTTTTCTTTTTTACTAAATAGCCATTGCCTGAAGATCAAAGACACTATGGACTATATAGATGAGGTAGTTAACGGCGCAATGCCGACGCCGGAGCAGCAACAGTCTGTTATGAATTCAAATGGCAAACTGATTCCCGAAATGAATTCGAATATAATTGGTATTAATGCGTTGTTGCAAAAGTTGAATGAATTGCTTGAGGAACAGAATCGGGAGCAAGGCAATGTGTAGATGCAGAGGACTTGAAGATCCAACCACAATAGTATAAACAAATATGCTGTGTGTTTTTGAGATTGTAATCTATCAATAGTTTATTAAAACACCGTTTTTCATATCATAGAATTTTTGCTTGACATATATATGTATTGTATGTAGTATCTATATAAATAGATACATATATATATTTAGATATATGTATATATTTATAGTTAGTTGTAGTTTATAGTTATAGTTAATAATGTATTTCGGTATCGTGTTTTGAGAAAGTCCTCTCTGAAGCTGTTGTCGTATGTATATCATCTGATAATCCATCTTAAACATTAGCATAAGTAAGATATATAATATATAAGTTTATACGATATTTGTTTTTCTTTACTTGGCATTTTGTTGCATCGCACAGTTCTCTATAACATACATATATATTTTTTTGTTATACTGTTATTGTTTTGGAGTTTTCCTTTTATAGATTTACATACGAAAATTTTCTGCGTTTTTGTTTTGTTTTAAAAGCTTAGTCAAATGTTTACTGAGAAATGTTGATTTTCTTTGGCTATTTTTTGTTAGGGAGGGCAAATCAAAATTCCAAATTGAATAAATGATTTTACACCAATAGTTGGCTTCAAGTATTTATAATAGCGATAGCACCTTAAGAAGAGTTTAATTCAATGTAAAGCGGATTTTCCAAATTTTCTGTTTCTGTTTTAAAATGTAGGTATACATATATTTAAAGCACATTTAGATCAAACATCATTAAAAGCTGTAGATTCTCCTTTTTTAAATAATATTTGTTCTCAATTTGTCTGTGCTTAAGTTCCCTTTTAGGACCCGCCTCTGCATAATCCGTGCAGCCCTTGGACAAGCACGAGCACAAGTATGACATGTGTTCAAGGCGGGCGCTGGGGAGGCGAAGGAGTGGGTAGGTTGGTTGGTTGAAGAGGTCGCTTGCCAACTGTAAGTGGATTTTAGTTTTCTCTCTCATTTTGGTTTACCCACCTTCTTTTTCATTCTTTTTCACCTGCCTCTGGACCGTGCTCGAGTGCCAATTGGCAGCTGTTTGTCGAGTGCTTTGATTGATGCTGGCTTGGGCTATACTTTTGGTAAAACTTATGCACTAAACTGTTTGTGGAATATACATAGATATATTTATCGTTAGCTGGTATTTGTTTGTGTGACTTCTTCTTGTCAAAAATTAAGGTAAATTTTCCAAAATAAATAAACTAAGCAGAAAAATCGCACGCATCAAAATATATATATGTGTATATTCATAATACAGTACATTTATATATATGTATATATAATTATTATAAGTACACACAATTATTAACAACAATTATCTAAAAAATTCGCACTACATAATAATTTATAATAATTTAAATTTCACATTTAATTTCTTTTTTTGTTTTTGTTTGTGTTTTGGTTGTTGTTTTGTTTGTTTTTGCAATAATTTATTGAGTGTCCTTACTCTTAGCTAAGTTGTAATTAAGTCAAAATTAAATTATTTTCATTTTAGTTTAATATATAAATAAATATGCAATATATAGGAAATAGAAAATATAAATATTACGAGTACTTTGGCTACCCGAAAATTATTTCATTATTTTTAAAATCGATGTACTGAACTTTATTTATTAAATATTTGTTGTATATTTTTCTGGCTGGTTTCGAGTTGCTTTTTCAAAAGTAATTTTTTTTCAAGTATTAGGTATTTAATATTTATTTTGTTTTTATTTAAAAATTTCCTTAAGAGGTTTTGCTTTACGAATACACATACATAATAATTTTGGTTGCTTTGTATTTTGGAGCTCTTGTGTTTAGGAAATAGACTTTCGAAAGCTTAACATGCATAAACATTTAATTAATTTGAAACATTTAGTTTGAATTAGCTTTTATATTTATTTATTTATTTGCTTTTTTTTTTGTAGATTTGCGCTTCATCAATTTGTTCTCAGGTTCGTTTTCTTTTTCTTTTTCTTTTTATTTTAATTTTCTAATTTGCATTTGTGAGGTTATGTCCTCGAGCTGCGCCTAGTTTGCGGGCAGTTTTATAAAGTAATCAAATTTGTTCATTGGCTTGCGGCCAAAAATACTCGCCCCATTTGCATTAGTTTACCCAAATTGGTAACAAAAATATATGTATATGTGTTGCGTTAGCTAGTTGGCCCAATTTACTGCTCGTCTTCGGGCGAGATTTTGGCCAGGGTTAAAAGTATCATGGTGAGCTCCTTGCGCGAAACTTTGCCATGCTTATCACGGCCGACGCCACGCATGATTGTCTCCTCAAAGGCAGCCAGATCCTGGGCATCATAGTCGTCCTGTATGCAAAATATATTTAGTATATATAAATATATCGCTATTAATCTATAAGGAATGTCTGCACTTACCTTCTTGACCAGCTCGAGGAGATCCTTGAGAAAACCTTTCAGCTCCTCATTCTCAATGGTGCCGCTGTTGTCCTGTTTTCAAATAATAATATAATAATCCAATGCTATATATAATATATATTATATATATTTGTGCTTACGCGATCGTATAGCGAAAATACTTTCTCAATATCCTCCTTGGTTAGCTTGGTGGCGCCCTGTTTTATGAGCAATTGAAAAGAAAGAGCATACGAAAATCGCATTGAAATAACTGAGAATCCAGATCCTACATCAAATATATATAAATATTAATACACACACACACTTTAGTCTTTGCGGGATATTTGTTTTTCAATGTCAACTGGCACATGGTTTTTGGGCCTCTAGTCTACATGTTTGTGATGTGTGCGCGCGTGTGTGTGTGTGTGTGTATATATATCTGTTATGTGTTACTATGAGTGTGTGTGTGGGTTCGTGTACTTGTTTACGTTATATTTATTTACTGTTCATGCAAAATCATTTATTCTCATGCTTTCAACTTTTTTATTATGCAATCCATGCCAGGCCCGTGTTTGTCTATGGAAATTCAAGCCACACTCGCACACCCTCAAACGCGCTTACACACATACTTACACACACACACACACACACACACACACACACACATACATATGTGACCTGCATGCAAATCAATTTTCATTTACATTTTGCCATTCATGTTTGCATTGACTCAATCTCTTCATTCATACTACAGCCAATTTGTGCACAATTATTTGCACATTCCGGCACACAAAAAACCCTAAAACAAAGCCCTGAGGGCAACCAAATGGAATGAGCTCCTTAGACGCAGCTGCGTCGAAAAATGTTTGCATGACTTTTTTGTATATTACACTTAGAGATGGGTGTTTATTCGATATATCTTGACTTCGTGAATGATGATATATCTTTGATTTCATGAAGCTGCATGGAGCGTGGCTGATTTGATACATATTTATCATCTAAAACTCTTTCCAAATGTTTATGATTTCCATATTACTAACTATTTTTCTAGTTACTTTGCCATGTGTCTTTAGTAATTTTCTCGATTTAAAAAGTCGCGAAAATTCTTTCTTTCAACGCATTCCCCTCACGCACTTTTCTTCAATGATTCACGCACACATCTCTAGTGCGTTAGACAAACGTTTATATAGCCAGAGATTGCATACTTATGCGCATTATAACGAATGACTTAATTAAGCCGCGTCGTATTTGTATTTGTACTTGACTTTTCTCTGTCGACTCGTACATCTCGACTCTGCTCTCTCGGCTTCTCCCTTCTGTGGCTGCATTGCCCTTTCTACCTGAACGTTTTGGCAATTTGGTTTATGCGCTTGACATTAGGTAATTAATATGCATTAAGGTAAATTGCTAAATTTCTGTGGCTTGCCATACCCTGTACCGATGGCATTGCAATGAAAATGGGTATATTAAATATGTATTCAAAATGCGAGAGGATATAATCGAGTCTTCTTTGAGTATAAATAGAAGGAAAATAAGTTGAGGAATCTCAACTTTAGGTATTTATTATATATATATTAAGCCTTGAACTTTTTTATTGATATATTTTTCGATGTATATATGAGCTATCTATACAAGAATATATTCCTGATCGAATATTTTATTTTACTTATTTACTTATATCTGACTATTACATAAAACTCTCTACAGGGTATAGTCCATATTTATTCTCAATCGCTATGGGACTAGAGTAATGTAGCATACATTTCAGCGCATACATTTGCAGCTTTCGCATGTGTGTCCGTGTGTGTGAGTGTGCTTATGTAGAGATAGAGATGTATGTGTTGTATGTTACAAGCGCCAGTTAGATTTATTGATTCCACTTCCTGTCCAACACACCCACACACACACACAGAGGAGAACATACATGCCTGCACCTTGTTTTTGGCTGCTTGTGGTTATGCAAGCAGGACAGGAAAGGACATGCAGGTGCGCAAGGGATTGGCCAAGGTTCGAGGTTTTACACCTGGCACCTAGCTTCGAGCTATCAACAATTCAAGTTCAAAGCCGCTGCAGGTGTTTCATGGCCCAAAACCAAACAGGAAACGGCTCAAATTTTGCTAGGCAGCAATTTGTATTATATGTGTGACTTTGTATATATATATATATATATATATGTGTGTGTGTTGAAAATGTTTGTGGGCTTGTGGTTCCCCCGAGGACTGATAACATTAATTTTATTTGGACTTGTTTTATAAACGACGCGTACGACAAAACGCAGTTACTTCTTCTGTCCCATATACCCTTTACTCAGTCAAGAAGTGTATATTGGCTTGGTGACATTTCAATCACCTATAAATGATTTTTTCAAGATTTGCTTGTATAAGGAGAATCTTCTTTTTCGAAGAATAACTTTTGTAAGATATTGTCGTCATACTTAGTTTAATCTCTTTAATTTGACTTGTCTCGCAAATGATATTTAAGTTATTGCAGATTATTTGTGTCAGTAGCTTGGGCATGTATCTCACAGAGTAACTATCAGTCGAGCAGACTAATCGGGAACCTATCGAATCGGTTATTTTGTGCGTACGTGTGTATGTTTTGGGGATTGGAAATCCATTAGTCGTCTGCCCTGGCAGCCGTTTTATCACATTGTTCTTAGCGTTATAGTATGTGTGCGTGTGTGTGTGGGCTTTAAAAAATGCGAAAAATAAAGATGGGCTTAATGTTGAGCCTTGGTGTTTAATTTGTGCGCCAACACTTTTTCACACACCAAATTGTATGGAATTTATGCGGACAGTTGCCTGAAAGGATGCTTTGCATTTTGTCAGCGCTTGCCTCTGACAAATTGCGAAGCCTACAAAAGCCGTCACGTTCGCACAGCTCTGATAGAATGAAGTAATTATTTTATACTTCAACACTTTTGAAAACCATTGCCAGTTACGGACTTGGCGATGGCGGCGGATGTCTGCGGCTGCCATTATCCATATGGACAGCATCGGAAGGCATTCACACACACACACACACAGACAGTAGCATAAACACACTCATCCTCGTTTACTGTCCTCTAAATTATGCAAAGGGTCACAGCTCAGGGTTGTATCTGGACCTTCATTAGATTTAAGCAGCGCACGTACATGCACTTATCGCCCATCTCCGGCAAGGTGGCTGTGCGTGTGTGTGTGTGTGTGTGTGTGTATCTAATTAGTATAGCACATAGTTCTCGTTTACTTATTGGATTACTCGCAGCTCGAGCCCATTGAGGTTAGCTTAAATATTTGTTAAGTTCTGTGTGCTCCTATTTAAGCACTTGACTCTTTAGCAAAGTAATTAAGCCCAATTTACGGACCAGGTTGGCGAAGCAATTCATACAAATTGTAACTTTAGTTTAAAGATGTTTAAAAATTTATTCAATATACAAAATAAATTGTTGTAAAATATTTCTTTTCATTTCATATTAGCTAGTGAAATTAAAATGTTCTCTAATAATTTGATGAGTCTAGTTTATTCAGGGTTTATACCAATTTATATACATCGATTTTAGATGTTACAAAAAAATCAAGTTGCTTTCCTTACAAGTTGATAGTCTTCTGGTTCAGCCAGCTGAGCTAATCAAGCACTGCGTATAATTCTTTGAGCTATCAAACAGACCGCAAACATCTCGAGATGTTCACTTGCACACACATACACAGTCACATGCACCCAACCTCGCACACCTACACAATTTTTTCACACCCACTCTGTTGCGCGGTTTATCTGCCAAACATGCCAAAAAAAGAATTATCAAAAGCAGAAAAAAGCTCTTCGAGGAAAGCAAAGCAAACACACAGCAGACCAGCATGCATATAAAAGGTAAATGTAGTATAGTTGTAGTTGGTGTACTATGTATTTATAGAGATCTATATATAACATTGTACCTATACAAAAAGTCAATAGAAATACATAGTAAACTAGAGTTAAAGGGTATGCAGTTAGTTTTCCATAGTTACATCTAACAAAAGATAAATCAGTCGTAAAAACAAAATATGCAAAAGTCATTAGAAATTGTATTTGTTTTTTTTTATGAACAAAACAAATTGAATTCCAAAATATCTTTTGATAATGACTAAAAGCTTGGGACGATCAAGTGGGCGGTATTTTATATCGGAAATGTAAATTTCCTTTTGTTCATGGGTAAATAAATACAGTAGTGTATGTGGTGTATTTATTTATTTTTTTTGTGTTAAATACTCTTGCAAACACTCTATAATTTGATTGCTTAAAAATCCGATATAGATTTTGATGCTTTGAATTACTTGAGTTTGATTGGTAAGTAATTGGTAATATCATTAATTATTCATTGAATTGATTTGTCAAGTTGGGATGCGGAGTCTCTTAGGAGTGAATGAATTATTGAACTATTTTGCATTAAAAGTCTCATTCGAGTGGATGGAAATAATGATAATACTAAAACTATTCAAAATGATTTTGAAAATGTTAGTAATATTTTTAAACAATAGTAAGAATAATATGAAAAATAAATTATTGAATAAATGATATAATAATAATACTGTCGACGTTAATGGCCATGATAAAATATTTTTTTCTTAGCTAAGGTAAATGAAAGGTAGTGTGATAATGAAAATGAATGAAAATTTATAA